TTGCTCGGTTAAAATCTTGAAAATGTAATGTAAAGGTTCTCTTGAGTTATTTTTTTTACCATTTAAAAAATGTTAAAGAGACGCATATTATGTATAATTTATAAAATGTTTAATTTTTATTAGTAAGGTTAGAAAATTTAACACAAGGTTACTTAGTTATTTGTGACTAGTCGTAAGTACCTAACCCCTTATAACCCCTTATAATATAATTATAAGCATGATTTTTTTTCATAGATAGGTACCTGTTCAAAATTTAATAATTTAATAAATAATAACGATTTTAGTTTTTTTGTTGTAAATTAAAAATATTATTCGTGGTTAGGCACTTGAAAGTATATTATTATGTATATATTTATTTTATTGATCTTAAGCATCGGCAAGACAACAACTATGGTCATTAGCATTTTGTAAAAGGGTTTCGGTTGGTCGAGGAGCACGTGTCGGTTCTCCATTAAAAACCCGGGTGGTCACCCATCTGAGAACTAGCGATCGATGCTTGGCTCCAGAACACGTTAGTGACTGAGGCTAACCACCTAGCCATAACAGGCTCCATACTTTATTTTTCTACATAGGCACCTATGCGGCTTACCTATAAGTACCAACGATTAATGACATAATATTTAAATTCGATGTTTTCCTGGAAATTAATTCCAGCCCATCTTAGTCCATTTGATCCCATAATTTTTTCTAAGAATAAGGAATTAGATTAAAAAATCATATTACCTCCTAAACAAATTTGAATAGCTTAAAAAAGTTTAAATCTTAAAATAATCGTTTCCTATTTAAAATTTTGTCATTGATAACGTTAATCCTCAAATATTCCAAAGACGCTAGAACTTATTATGAATGTATTCGAGTTTTGAATCTCCCTGTAATGAATCATGTGTTATTCTTTTTGTTTTATTTGTTTTTTTTTATTAACTGCGTCAAGTAAAGAAAATCGTTATTATCCCTCCGTTTGCTACTTCGCTATAGTCACAACTGCAACTGATAAAACACATTAATTTGATATAGGTACATCCTCGCAATTCGTATCGAAATCGTTTGACGTTAAATGTCTAATGTCTATACTGCAACCGAATAGGACGTAGGACGTACCTACTGTTTGTTACTGAATTGATTGACAATTTGGAGAAAACCATTGAATATTGACGCTTAGATATTATAGACGTTAAGGTACGTTTTAGAATTCTATATAATTTATTATGTACAATAACGCTATACCTATATTGTAGTCAAATTTAATCTTTAAACACGTCCTAGGATTTTATGCATGAGTTACCTACACAGATTACTTATTTTCTATGCACAACCTTAAATCTACGTAGTATACCTACCTACCTATAGTTGTATAATATATTGATACAAAATTACAAATTTAAAGATATGTATTGTATTTAAGTAAACCAAGTACCAATAGATTATTTTATTGACATAGGTAGTTGTATATTTTCCAATATTGTCTATGTTTGTCAAATAGTTTATTTGTTTATAATTTGTATTTTTTTTATACATAATTGCGCCATTTTGGGTTAATAGTACTTCCGATAAATGTATACACCCGAATAACAAACTTCAACTGCAAACAATTTCTTATCAACTCTAAATTGTGTTATGAATGAAAACAATTTTTAATACATTTGTAGAATTGAGATATGTTTATTATTACCGTATCTATATATCTAATTTTCTATTATGTCGATTATGAAAATATTCTCGCTACTAATACCATTAACAAATCCTATCCTTAAATAAATAAATCATTGAATGAAACTATGAAGACAATCATATTATTTCATATTTGTGCCAAAATCAAAAACTATACTTAGTACACCTAATATTTTTACATAGAATAGTTTAATCACATTTAATATATACATTTGTTTCATTTTACCATACATCAAAGCTTATGTATTTAATTTATATTTAATTCATGTAAGTGCATCTCATTCACTTTTTTGGTGTATAAACTTAAATTTTTTTTTATAAAACTGTTTATGGTTAGGAAATTTTAATTAAATATCAACCTACATAAAAAGAAATTTATCATACAAGACAGTTTATGTAGGTTGGTCATATCCAAATAAGCAAACCTGTTTAAGAACCTTCACTCTATCTGTTAAATCTTTACATTGAACTCTACAATGAATACTCAAGTTTTTATCAATTTACTTATATTAATCTTGTTAAAATTAGTTTTTACAGTATAATAACTTTTAAAACTATTTCAAAGACAATCACAGTTTTACTTATATTTTACTAAAATAGAATTTGGCATTATTATAATTTATATTTATTAAATATTTTTATCAGTTAGGTAGCCTATTCATATTGCTAATCAATAGTCATCATTATCATAAATTGTTATTTATTTATACTTAAATAAATTAAATTAATATTAATTTTGTAAGACATATTCCCCACAAAGGTTAGTAAGATTTCAATTAACCATTTAAATACAAATAAATATAAATATAAAATGCATACCTAATTTAAACTTTTTTTTATTTTCAGCACATTAATGAATCAAAAAATAAACTGTTGAATTTTAATTTCATACCGTTTTAATAACCTTTATGGAAACATGACCGCTGAGGAAGATACATCATATACAAAGTTGCCCATTGAGGAACGATGTGTACACAAAGTAAATATTCATTTTTTGTAATTATTTGTATATTCTTGAATACAATTAATTGTTTTCAATTTTTAAATATTACTTATTAAATTTCATTTCTTCATCGTCATCTAGTGGCGCTTAAAAAAATGCTAAGGTGGGAGGTTTGAACCTTCCTCCCCCCATGTGTGTGTATGTTACTGTCGTTGCCCATAATATTATTTAAGAGAAATTGTTTTTATATATTTACTATTACAATTATTTTAATATCATATTAATTTTATAATAATTTTAACAATACTTATTACATATTACATATTAAATATTAATTATTTTATTAAGTTGTGGAAAGCCAGAATAAGTGGTTATGAAGAAGCTATTAAAATATTTGGACAATTGGATGAAAAAGCTCCTGAATGGAATAAATTTACAGGAATAGTAAAGAAATTTGTTATTGACAGCAATGCGGTTGCACAGGAAAAAGGTCTTGAAGCCACATTAGTTTTTGTCGAAAATTCTGCTACTGCGGGACGGTTAGTTAACTATAATTTTATTTTCAGTACCTAGCATTGTATTTTATTATACAATTTTTTTAGTACTGTGGGTGAAGTCATGACTGGTTTGATAACAAAATGTTATGGTGCACCAAAAGCTAAAACTAAAGATGTTGCCATACAAATAACATTAATGTTTATTGAAATTGAAAAGCAAGATATAGTAATAGAAGAATTAGTTAAAGGAATGGACCATAAATTTCCTAAAATTGTTTCAACTTGCATTAAAGCTGCAACTCAAGCAATCAAGTAAGTATATACCTACTAATAAAATGTATCATTTTTTAAAAATCTATTATTAATCTGTTTATTTATTGTAGAGAATTTGGATCAAAAGTTTTGAATATTAAGCTACTACTGAAAAAATTACAATCAATACTTGAAGACAGAGATAAAAGTGTTCGAGATGAAGCAAAATTGTTGGCCATAGAAATCTATTCCTGGATTGGTCCTACACCTGTTAAAGCTAATTTGGCTAATCTAAAACCTCTTCAAGTATATATATATATCAAGGCTTAATCATACTATATTTGCTAAAATAAATATTTTAATTAGATTCAAGAATTAGAAGCAGAGTTTGAAAAAATAAGCAGTGATAAACCAAGAGCTTCTCGATTTCTGCGCTCTCAACAAGAACAAGCTGCTAAAATGGAAGAAGTTGCTGCTGCTAATGGAGGTAAGCTTTAAATTAATAATTTCGAGTAAAATAAATTAACAAAACATTTTAAATTTTAGATATGATATTGGAAGAAGGCACTGACACAGTTGACGATCCAGAAGAACATATTGATCCAGTTAATATACTTAGTCAACTTAGTAAAGACTTCTATGAAAAGCTTGAAGCAAAAAAATGGCAAGAACGTAAAGAAGCCATGGATACGCTTGAAGGAATATTGTCTAAATCTCCAAAATTAGAGAGTGGAGAATATGGAGATTTAGTTAGAGCCTTAAAGAAAGTAAGAAATCATATTATTAATTTAATAATAATAATTTAACTAGAATTAAATTTCCTAAAACTATTAGAAAATAAAATCTGAAAAATTGATTTTTGACTGAAATAAATAAAAATATCCTAATTTCTTTATTTACAAACGTTTAAAGCCGTAATACATTTAAAACAGTATTTTTTTCATCGGAAATTGGTAGAGGACTCATCGACAATGGTTTTTATCAGTAAACTACAATATGTATGATGATATTGGGTTGTACTATTAATTTATAAACATAGAATTAAAAGTACAAATATACGATTAATATATTGTTTTTATGTAAGTACTTATACTTATTTTTTGATTTTTTTTATAGATTATTACAAAAGATTCAAATGTTATAATAGTTGGCATTGCTGCCAAATGTATGGCTATGTTAGCTAATGGATTAAAAAAACGATTTGAAACTTATGCTTCTGCTTGCATACCTGCATTGTTGGAAAAATTTAAAGAAAAAAAACAAAATGTTGTATTGCCACTACGAGATGCTGTTGATGCAATTTATTTAAGCGTAATTTAGTTTTAATTATAGCTATAATTTGATAATAACTAAAATAAAATATATAATTTGGTAATAATTTATAATTATTTTAGATGACACTTGAATCTATTCATGAAGATATTTTGACGGCAATTGACAATAAAAATCCATCAGTAAAAGCTGAATCAGTTTCATTTTTAACTCGATGTTTTTCAAAATGCACACCAACAATTTTAAACAAAAAATATTTGAAAATATTTACTACGGCATTAATAAAAACATTGAATGAATCAGGTAATTATTTATAATAAATGTTACTTTTAATTATTCATATTATTTTAAATAATGTATGAATTCAATATAATATAAATATTTTTCAAACAAAAAATGAATCATACATATTAATACTATCTTTTTCTAAAGCCTATTACCATCTGAAATTGGTTGATGAGTTTATTTGTTTTTATGTGAACTATAGTACCCATTTTTTGCATTAACTTAATTTATTTTGAGAATACTATTGTATTTTTATTTTATTTATATAAATAATGATATGGTATCTAACTACCATCTAAGAATAAGATAAAAAAAATTACCTAATTTCTAACTAGATTTATTTAACTTTTTCATCGTCTCTTTAAAAATTGTGTGAGCCTAATATCGATAGAACTTCTAACTACAAACTTAATCACCCAATACTCAAAAAGTATATTTTTAATAATTCCTACATTTTCTAACCATTGATATAGATAAATAAAGACGACACTCTGGCATGTTTTTCAAAAACATTTGCGGGGTACAGTTTAGCCACTTATTAAACTTTTCTAAATCAATTTTAGTATCGGTTAAATGTTTATTTATCCATCTATATGTTTCTCAGAGATTAAATAATGACAATTTGTTTATGAACTATTTGTATTAATCTTAACTTTTTTTATGTAGATTAATAATAAAATGTTATTAACATAATTGTAAACAATGTGTACGTGGACCTACAAAATGTTCCTTTTGATTGGTTGTCAGAATCAATAACTTTAGCTAGTACAGAAACAGCACAAAATGCTTCTTGACCAGTTGGAATTATTTCACTAGTAGGCAAATCAAAACCATTGACACCAGTATCTCTTAATTCCAACGTAAATACATATTTAATATTTGCTTTACCTTTCATCCAATCCATTGATGTTCCTGTAAATATTGTTGGTATTAATTATTAAATAGGTAGTCCTTTAAAATAAATTGATTTAAACCTGATGCTCTATAAAATACTGCACTTGCTTGACCAACAGAATAGATGTTTGATGTTTTTTCTAATATTTCTAATGACATGGATGTAGCTATGTTCTGAAGTTTATCATAGTCTTCTTTTATATGATCTTTAGTGTATGCCCAAGGAAATAAAATAGCTTGCCCGTATGAGTGTAATGATATAAATCCCTGTCCAGGGGTTTCTATTAGTACTTACTTTTCTTTAAATTAATATATTTTTATATGGTATCCTTTCATATAATGTATATAATTTTGTCAATATATTTATCATAATATTACAGTATTATGATAATATTTTACTATATTTACAAAACAAATTACATAGTATTTTCTTGTTGTGAATTGTTTATCTACCTGAATAATTTAATTTTAATTCAGCATTAAATTAATATTAGTTTCCAAAAATCCTCTTATTTCAAAAAACATAAATGTATATTAAATAATAAAATAGCACTGCATTTGTTCATACATTTTAAACGCCCATACAAAATGACCCATTACTTTTTTAATTTTAAACAAAATATTTAGGTATGCTAAATTACTATAAAATATTAAAATAACATGGAAAAATAATAAAACATTACAAATCTAAAAAAACTAAATTATAGTTAGTGTTATTGTTTCAATTCATGAACATACATTAGACGACAAATTGTATCTATATTAACTATAATACTTGAAGTTCTCAAGTTTTAGTGTGAACTGACCTTTATTTTAGTTAAATTTTTTGTGATAAACCGAATGATTGCTTTTACTTCTAATTCTGAATTTGGAGCTGGTCCTTGGTAAGCTTCTGAGCAATAGTTTTTATCAGAGTTTGTATTGTACCAATCATAATTCCAGTTACGATTCAAATCTATTCCTATACAATTGCCTGGTGTTTCAACACGATTTTTTCTCCATTGCCTATCGGTTTCATATGAATATGTATACCTAAATGGCAAACCATTTTTGGTGGGAATGACTAAATGGTATTATTTGAATTTATTAATGTACTACCCATCTGGATTTACAATTGGCATTAAGACAAAATGAATATTTCTCATATATATTGGTAAAGTCTTTCTTTTATGTATAAGTTCATTAGATATATACACCATTGAAGAAATAGTTATCCATTCTCGTGCATGAATCCCTGTAAAAATATTTTGACGGTCTTTTAATATTTGTTTAAGCAGTATAGTAAAGACAAATATACCTCCATCAATCCAGATAATATCATTGTTTGCTTGATTATTATCTGGTTTTATATGTATTACTTTTAGAGGAGTTCCATTTTTAGTATGTCCAATAGTTGACACTTCAACAAATTTTTTTTTATTAAAATTATCAATAAATTTGTAAACGTCATTTGTATGATAAAATTTCTTAAATTTGTATGGAATGTTCTGAAATATAGAATACTTAACACTATATTTGATGATTGTGGGGGTTGGTGGTTTGTTTTTTCATTCATTTTTTCCCAACTACCAGAAGTAAAAGTTTTCTATACATTTCATTTCCTCTGGTCCAATTTAAATTTTTAGAAAAAATATGGACTTTATGACTATGAAATTAATTTTCTTTTTTTCCCTTATTTAAAATTTAATATTTTTCAGGTTCAAGTGTACCCAAGTGTAAAAAAAAAATATACAAAGAAAAGAATACAATTGTTTTCAAATTAAAATTGTATACGATACTGCTTGCATCCTTCTACTTTTAGTACAATACTATTACTTTACTAATTACTTGTCCTGTGAAGTTTATTGATTCATACTTCATTTTTTTATTTGTCATGTTGGATAATAAATCATTATAATTATTATACTTTTTTATTACATCTCTTCTAATCTTATTTTTGTAATTTTTAAAAACATAAAATGCATTTTTAGAATTTTGATGATTTGTTAAGTTTATGTTTTGTGCTAAACAACATAGCTTAATTAAGTAAAGTATACCATTTAATAAAAATAAACAATTCTTCATATTAGTTTATTTTTTAACATTATATTTGATTATATCTATAACAACATAATGTACAGACTAATTGTTATCTTTAATGATTATTTTAAATGATGTAAGTTATATCAGGTGATTCAATTTTAATGTTTTGGCCAAATATTTATATTTGTGAACATAAATTAAATCAACTAAATTGTTTTAATTTATTCATTAACTTTTTATTTTTAATTTACAGATCCAACTGTTCGAGACAATTCTGCTGAAGCTCTTGGTACTGCATGGAAGGTTGTATCAGAAAAAAATATTCTTCCATTTTTGACCACTGTAGATGCAATAAAACTGGCTAAAGTAAGTAGAACTGTCAGAATATATTATAATTTTTAATGATTTAAAATTTTTCTTTTCCAGATTAAAGAAGCATCAGAAAAAGCTGTAATAACTGCAAAACCAACAAATATTATAAGAGAATCAAAATCTGCTGCTGCCTCATCTAATATGGGAGAGAAAAAAGCAACAGTTACAATTAACAAAAACACTGTTATTAGAAGAACTCGTACAGCTGTCAATATTCCTAGTAAAACTGTTGCTAACAGTAAGACCAAAAAACCTATGAGTGCTCCTGGTATATTTATGGAATTCAATATTCAGAAAATTGAAATTTGCTTAATATTATTTTAATACCTTCAGGTGGACGTAAACCTGCACAATCGAAAGCTCTTCCTCCAATTGAAACTGAAAATGAAATTGGTGATGAAGAATTAGAAGAACTGGCTTTGACATTTTGTTCTCCTGAAATTTTAAATGGTATGGTTGATGCCAATTGGAAAACTCGTTTGTCCAATGTTCAAGAATTTTCCCAAGTTAGTGCTAATTATTTAAAAAAAAAATTGTTTACTTTATAGTTTGTTTATTTAATTTAAGATAATTGATCAAATGGAATCATTGTCAGTTAGCAGCCAAGTATTAATAAAACTGCTGAATAAGAAACCCGGTATCAAAGATAATAATGTACAAATACAAAAATTGAGACTTGAGTGTTTGAAAAAAGTCATTGAAAAGTTTCCTATAACTAGGTACTAATATTATTTGATTTATATTTCTTTCACTTTTTTCACTATTAAATATTTTTAGTACTGGCATGAATTCATGTATTCAAGATGTTTCTTCTCTGTTGGGTGATAATAAAAATGGTACTCTAGCGAGTCAAGTATTGACTACACTTGCTGAATCTACTAGACTAGATCTGGTTTGTAATGCAGTATTAGAATATGCATTTACTGTACAGAAGAATCCAAAAGTTCAGATTGATGCCTTGAATTGGCTTTCAGGTGCCATCTTGGAGTTTGGATTTATGTAAGTATATTTTTGTTTTAAGTATAAAATAAACTTTGGTTTAATAAAGTATATCATAGTAAAAAATTAACCCAACAGTACATATTATCAAGATAGCCATGTTTTGTCTTAAATAAAATAAACTATTTTGGTGATATTCAATTTAATTATATACTTATATGTTTATGTATAGATTTGTTTATTTAAATTATTATCTTAAATTTCATGCTATCAGGTCTGAATTGGAGTAAGTTATCTTATTTATTTATTTATTTGAATCAGTGCATTTATGACCAACACATTTTACAATTTTACTTTTATTATTCTATTAGTTTGTAATTTTTTAATGTTTTTTACTTTTAATTTTATACCTACCACCAGTATGTAGAATTATGAAAGCTCGTTTACTTTAATCCTGGATTAAAACATTACACTGTTTTTTTAATTTCTGTATTAAATAAATAATTGTTTGTAATACTTAAGAGAAATCTATAGATACTGAAACTTCTATAATAAAAAAAGAGATTATTTCTATATATAATGAAAATAATGTCAATAGTTCATGAATAAATTCTTGTCGGTTGTTTAATTTTATCATAAAATAAAAAAACTTTTTAATACTTTAAAAATTTGATGTAATTTTATCCTTTTTATTTTAGTATTGAACCGAAATCTGTGATGCAAAATGTCAAAAAAGCTGTGAGTGCTTCTAACCCTCAAGTTCGTTTGGCTGTTATTTCTCTTCTGGGTGTTATGTATCTATATATGGGACCCCAGTTAAGTTTGTTCTTTGAAAATGAAAAACCAACCTTAGTGCAACAAATAAATGCAGAATTTGAAAAGGTAAGATTAATTATTATTCATAAAGTATTCTGTAAGAATTAAAAATACAAATAACCCTTTTTTGTCTATTAGCATCAAGGGGAAGCTCCTCCTAAACCTACACGTGGAAAAAATATGAATGGATCCACTGAATCATTAGAAGCTGCAAGTGATGATGAAAAACCAGCATATGAAGTCAACATACGAGACATTGTACCGAGAGTTGATATATCTCCTCAAATAACTGATGCTTTGATTAATGAACTTTCAGATAAAGATTGGAAAGTAAGAAGTATAAATATTACTACTATAATATAATATACATTTTATATTTTATATTTACATATATTTAGGTTCGTTCTGATGCTTTAACCAAATTGCAAAATATCGTTAATGAAGCCAAATTTATAACCAGTGAACTGGGAGAAGCTAGAAAAGCTTTACAAGACAGGTATACAATAGTTAACTATTATTTATAAATATTTAAAATTTATATTTTCTATTAATTGTTTTGTTGGTATTTATTACTTAGAATAAGTGATTCAAATGCTCGCCTTGGTTCGAATGCAATCAATTTAGTAGAATTGATTTCAAAAGCCATGGGATCTTCTTTTAAAAACTACATCAAAGGTTACTTACCTGGTGTCTTAAATGCACTGGGTGACCCAAAGGTACTTTATTATTAATATTTTTTACATGTTAAAAATGTTTAAAGTAATTATTAAATATTAATAATGATTATATAAACTATTTTAGACGTTTAAATGTCAAAGTGCTCGCCAATGTATGAATACATGGGCAGATGTATGTGGTTATCGTGAATTTTTTGGTGGTGATATACTTTTGGACGCATTAAAAAATAATTCAGTAACATTAAGATCAGAGTTATGGACTTGGCTTGCAGAAAAGTTGCCACTCAGTATGATTTTAATTATTAATTTAGTTGAATAAGTTTTAATTTATTTTTTTTTTTTTTTAGTCCCTTCTAAGTCAATTCCTGCTGATGAGTTAAAATGCTTACTTCTGGTTCTTTACACAAGCCTTGAAGATAGAAATGCTAGTGTTCGTAGTGCTTCTGAAAAAGCTGTACTTGGATTTATGATGCACTTAGGTTATGCTTCTATGTATGGAGCATGTGAAAAATTAAAGGTATAATTTTACTATTTAAAAATGTTAAAATATATTTCAATTTTTTAATAGATTATTTGATTTGTAGCCAATGTCTGTCAAGTTTTGCAGAGAGAAGTTGGACAAAGAAAGACCAAATTTACCCGTTGTACCAATTGAAAAACCTAAGGTTGTAAAATCTGGTATTCCTGCTGGCTCTTCGGTTAAATCAGGAGGATCAAAAATACCTCCTCCTAAAGCAGCTACTAAAGCTAACAAAGTTTGTTATACTACATTTTAAATTTACTTTTACGTATCAGTTAACTAACTATTGAATTACTTCTTTTTATTAAGGAAAATGTAATTCCCCGAGTAAGTACAGCTACAGGGAAAAAAAAAGAAGAAGTTGATAATGGCCCATTATTCCAACGAAATAATTTAAAGCATCAACGTGATATTGATGAACACAAATTAAAGGTACAATTATTTATGTCATTTATTTATATATAATGTATATTAAATGTATTTGTTAGAGCAATAAGTTCTACGAGTTAACTTCATTTAAAGTCAATGTTTTTAAAACATTGAAGTTTGATAAAATTCCAATTTTAATTTTTTATTACAGTTCTAAAATTATTATTATTTTCACTGGGTTTTGGAAAGTGTTTAACTATAGAGCTTTTGCTGTTAAACCAGGCTTGTTAAAATAACAATTTTTTTAATTTATTATAATTATTTCATATTTAATTGTATACTTAATCCATTATTAGTGATATATAATCAAAATGTTGGTACTGTTTAGTCATTAAAATGGAATTTCACAACTCCTCGAGAAGAATTTGTTGAACAACTTCGAGAACAAATGTTAACTGCTGGTATTAACAAGGTTTTGATTACAAACATGTTTCATTCAGATTTCAGATATCATCTCAAAGCCATTGAGATTCTTTCAGAAGTATTATGAAAATAACTATTTATCTGATACA